TTAGGAGGGCAAGCCTGACTGGCAAGAAAGCAAGCGAAATATGAGAATCGAAGCGACTCATAGCCATATAAGACGATTGCTGCGTGGGTTGAAATGTGCAGTTGGGCTGATGCCGATGCTGCTGATGCTACTGAAGATGATGTGCTCTTTTCCGAGGCTACCACCGACTAGTGGATACAAAACTGAGCACTTCTATCTCTCAACAGATCACCACCACTGGTCAAAGGTAAAGAGTCAGCCTGAGTTGGTCTGACCAAGGAGGCAAAGTGGTGGTGGTGGTGGTGCTCTTCGCAGCATGCCTGTTGCCTCTTTCGCTGGCCTTCTCTCTCTCTCCTTTCCTTTCTTATCAGGACTTTTTCGCCAGTGTTTACTGCTTCTTCTTCGTCTGCTGCTGCTGCTGCAGTTGCTGCTCGACCCTTCAGGGCACGTTTCAACTTTGCATTCAGCTTAGAGAGGGGAAACAGAATTACCAACAACAGTAGCAGAATAAGTCGTCAAAGTCTAAGCCAGGGTCTAATTGCCACACTGCTACCAGCAGCAGCAGAAAGAGTGAGGGGCACTAGCGCAGCAGTGTAATGAGTATCGCACCAGCACACAGCAGGCAAAAGAAGGAAAGAGAGGCAGCATTCTAGTCCCCCTCAACTCCAGTCAGCCCTCACTCAAAGTTAAATAAACATACCACACACCATCATCATCACTTCCACTGCTTCAAGACATTAGAAGTGCACAACTGAATCAGCAAATTAGAATTACACAAAAAGCAGCAGCAGCAGCGGTGCTATAATTTCAAATGCCACTAAATTACGATATCTACTGACGACTGTGCACTGTGTTCAGCAGCTCTCAAAGTGATCACTGCTGCTGATTATACTGTTGACAAGTGCACCAATAAAACAAGAAAAGTTGCGCTGCGATTGCACACAATTTGCAACTGCGATTGGTGTACGTTAGTTATAATGATGAAAAGTGACAGCTTTGGCAAAAATATAAAAACACAACCAAATTAACCGGTAAAAGCAGTTGCAAACAGTTCACCGCCAAAAAGAAAAAGAAGACGATGCCTCGTACCAACAGCGACACCGACCCTGTGACGCAAAAGTCAAAGTTCGTCTCCTACCTCCTTCGCCATGACACCCGAGTGGGCGACCTGGTGGACGANACCAAAAAGAAAAAGAAGACGATGCCTCGTACCAACAGCGACACCGACCCTGTGACGCAAAAGTCAAAGTTTGTCTCCTACCTCCTTCGCCATGACACCCGAGTGGGCGACCTGGTGGACGAGCGCGGCTTTGCCAGCCTCAAACAGCTCAACTCAGTGGCCCGAAAGGACAATCACCGTCTGCTGACCGAAGAGGACCTGATCGCCGTGGCGGAGAACCCGCGCACCAAGCGACGCTTCGAGTACGAGTACCGACCACTGAGCAGAGAGCACTCATCACCTAAATATGAAAATGATCACCACCAAAATGAGCAGAAGATGATATACATTCGTGCGCTAAATGGCCACAGCTTTCCGCTGAGGACAAACGACTTTGAGCGCTTTGTGGTGGATGAGAACGCTGCTGACGCCGCCAAGCCCAAGTACCTCTTCCACGCGACCAATGCTAGCACTGTGCCAGTGATTCTCGCGGAAGGTCTCAAGCCGATGAGCAGACAATTCGTGCACATGTACGAGTTTGAGAATCAAGTCAAGTACGACGGCAAGCGGAACACCCTGCTGATGATTGGTCCGATTACCGGCAACTCGCAGCTAGAGCTGTACCGCTCAAAGAATGGCTACATTCAGTGTCCTCATGTGATTCCAGCAGATCTGGTGAAGAGAAAAACAAACTCGGCGGCGCAAAATAAAATAACAGCGACTGCCCCGCTTTAGCAATATAATCTGTGCAACAAATGCAATAAAATTAAAACACAAACTTACCAAAGTTTGAAAGCAAACTAACAGTAACAAGTAAAGCGGAGATTTGGGAATTCAAATCTCTCTAGAACATGCGAATAATCATGTCGCGTTTTGGGCCCACGCCGATCCACTTGACTGAAAAAGAGTGCAAATTGTTAATTAACTAAAGACAGCTGCTTCCCAAGTGTTGACTTACTCGGTATTTCGCAGACCTTCTCCACGGTTCGCACGTACTCCTGCGCCTGCTTGGGCAGCTCCTCAAAGCGGCGACACTTGCTGATGTTCTGCTTCCAGCCGGGCAGCGTCAGGTAGGTGACCACCACCTTGTGCAGGTCGGCGGTGTTCCCCGGCGGGCTGACCAGCTCCTTGCCGTCCATGTGATAGGAGACGCCAATCTTCAGCTCATCCAGACCGTCAAAAATGTCCAACTTGGTCAGAGCGATTCTAACAACACCAAAATAGAAAAAGAGGTTAAAAGTTGGAGCAACTCTCACATTTTCATTACCCAGTGAACGCATTGATCATGTGAGAGTAGCGCAAGAGGACGGCGTCCAGCCAGCCGCAGCGGCGTTTGCGCTTCGTGGTGACGCCAATCTCTCGGCCGACTCGCTGCAGGTAATCGCCCACCTCGTTCTTCAGCTCGGTGGGAAAAGGCCCGTCGCCGACGCGGGTGCAGTAGGCCTTGGCAACGCCGTACACCTCGCCGAGGTAGCGCGGCGGCACGCCCAGCCCAGTGCANAGGGCCCGTCGCCGACGCGGGTGCAGTAGGCCTTGGCGACGCCGTACACCTCGCCGAGGTAGCGCGGCGGCACGCCCAGCCCAGTGCAGACGCCGCCGATGGTGCAGTTTGACGATGTGACGTAGGGATAGGTGCCAAAGTCAATGTCCAGCATAGTGGCGTTCGCCCCCTCCACCAGGATCTTTTTGCCCTGGCGGATGAAACTGTTGAGGACCTGAACGGTGTCGACGATGCANGGTGACGTAGGGATAGGTGCCAAAGTCAATGTCCAGCATAGTGGCGTTCGCCCCCTCCACCAGGATCTTCTTGCCCTGGCGGATGAAACTGTTGAGGACCTGAACGGTGTCGACGATGCACGGGCGAAGCTCTTCAGCGTACACCTTGTGCTTGGCGATCTCCCCTTCGACGTCGATCTTCAGATCGGGAAACTGAGAAGAGAAGTGGGCGGCCAGGCTGCGAAACCTAATAAGATGAGAGTTAGTAAAGAGACTAACTTGGAGAAACGAAAAACACGCATACTTCTCTTCAAAATGACCAAAGCTGAGCAGCTCAGACATGCGAATGCCAGTCCTGGCGGCCTTGGACATGTAAGAGGGACCGATGCCTTTCTTGGTGGTGCCCAGACTCTGGCCCTTCTGACCCTTCTGCAGTTCGACCATTCCGTCGGCAGCCTGGTGAAAGTCAAAGACAATGTGCGCTCGATCGGAGATGAGCAGTCGCTTCTTCCAGTCGCGCAGTCCTTTGCCTTCATTCTTGCGAATCTCATCCAGAAGTTGGCCTATGTGAATCACCATTCCTATAAATAAAATTGTTAGATTCTAGGAAAGAACGTTTTATCTTAAGCTACGTACCATTTCCCATCACCGAATACGCTTTCTCGTTGATGATGCCACTGGGCAAGAGATGAAAGTCGTACTCGACATTGTCCACGACCACAGTGTGGCCAGCGTTGTTGCCACCCTAAAGAACAGTAAAGAGGACCATTATCATCAACCAGAAAAGCAGTACACTTCACCAGACTTACGGCATATCGGCAGACCACGTCCATCTCCAATGAGAGCAGATCGACAATCTTTCCCTTGCCTTCATCGCCCCACTGGGCGCCCAGGACGCAGCTCACCTTGCTCCAGGCTTGATTACCGCTCATGGTTCTTGTCAAGTTTCAGTGAGAATCAGAAAAACTTGAAGTGACACGTCGAATTAACCAGACTGGCGCCCAAAAACCAACTCATTGTAAATGCTGCGAGTTTTGATGACCAAAAAGTTCTAAAAATCAAAACAAAACATCGTCATGTGATTTTTTCGAAACAAATCAAAATGTTGCGGGAAACACTTCCATCGGTTGCCATAGGATTCTTTCCGGAAAACTTTTTTAATTAAATTTTTAATTGGATTCCCAGGTAAACACAATTAGTTTTGGTAGCTAAATTATCTAGGTAACCAATCAAAAAATGTAAATATTTGTTACCCTTATGCACTTTTACTTAAAATAAGCTTTTTTACTTTTCAAAAAGACGCTAAATCCTGAATCCTCACACCCTGGAAACTGGATCACTTGGCAACTAAAAAATCCGTCGCGCATGCGTTTCGCGAAATCGAGCAGGATCATCGCCCGCATCAACAGCAGCCTACGAGTTTGCAGTGCATTCGCACTGAGTGAGTGCTTAAACTCTGACCGAGGACGCCCGTCGTGTCGGGAATTTCATCTGAAGTGACCCGATCTTCGGTGACTTCCTCTTGAACCTCGACTTCAACCAACGAAAATGGCGCCCACCAGAGGCGCCCTGACCTTTGGCCTCCTCCCCTGGTGGCCGCTCCTGCTGCTGCTGGTCAGCTCTGCTTTGGTCGTCGCCGAGCACCATCATCACCTTCTTCAGCACAACTTCATGAGCTCATCCTACCCATCATCAGCGGAGTACCGTTTTGGCCAACTGCTGGACAGTTACCTGCAGGCGGGCAGCAATGAATCGTGCTCCGAAGTGTGGTGTGAATCCACCGATCCGGGCTACTTTGACGAGGACGAGTTCGACGAAGATGGAACGCGAGGCTTCTGGCTGGAGCCACCGCCTGACGATATTCTGTACATGCCACCGCCGCCGATGCCGCCCTCCTTTCATGCCTCACTACTGAGCATGGAGAATGGTTCGTTGAAGGAATTCATCATCGGCGAAGATCCCGAAGAAGGGTACCGCTGCAACTTCTGCAAACTCTTCTCCGACCCGCTGCTGGTGCCAGCCGAGGATCCGATGATCGACATGCTGGTGCCGAAGGTGAAGAGCAAAAGTGATGAGTCCTTCGTCAACAGCTTCTACGTTCTGATAACCTCGTTGGCCGTTCTGCTCTTTGTCGTCCTCATTGCACTGATGAAGTATAAAAAGTAAAAAGAGGGGGAGAAGAATAGAACACAAACTAATAACAAAACCTTCTTTTTCTTTCAGATGGAAAATCTTCCCGATGAGCGATTCGTGTCCAATTCTGAGCGGCGGAAGCGTTCTCGGCCACCACAAGTCTTCCTCTGGCTCTTCAGGCTCACCCTCAGACACTCGTCTGCCTGTGGTGAATGAGAAGTCGCCGCAGAGCATCATCATGGACGCACCGCTGGCCAGTTTGGGCAAGAAGTCGACCATCAGCACTACTGGAAAGTACTGGAAGCGAATGCCTGCGGGCACCGGCGGCGTCAACGGGAACATCTTCTCGATGGAGGACCGTCGGGGGCATCTTCACCGCTCCATGGGCGGCTCTTCCATGTCCGGATGCATGTCCGAACACCCGTACAGTGACGCCGCCAGCTGCACCAGCAGTCCGGTGTACGCAGAGCTGGACCCCTCGGTAGCCGGGTCCTGTCACACGCCCACCATGATCGGCCCACCGGGCAGCCATCTTGGGGGCGGAGGCGGCGGAAGCATCATCTCCAGCAGCTTCTCCCCGTACGCCGCCTCAAACACGTACAGCGAGGTGCCCGAAAACATACGCGGTCATCTGGTGCACCTGGGCAATGGCCACAACAACCAATATCCCCATCACCCTCTGCATGCCCACCACCAGGGAATGTCACCCTCTCCCCTGCTGACGGACAGTTCGACGTACGACAATGCCGCCTACCTGCCCGCCTCCTCGCAGCAGCCATTCCTTGCGTCCAATGGTGGCAATCACTACGCCACTCGATCACTTCGACGACTGGCAGCTCAACGATCGGCAGTGCTCAGTGCCGTTAATGGAAACGGTACCCCCAACGGTGGTGGGAATCACCAGCAGGTGTCAACGCCCCTTCTCGCCGGTCACCCCTATCACGTTCAGCCGTTTGCTGGCACTCTGCACCACCACCAGCAGCACCACCTTCAGTCGACGCCCCTCTCCTCGCCCGGTAATCAGTTTCAGCAGTTTCTCACCGGTGGACGGCCGCTGAAGAAGCCTCGACCTGGAGCAGGCAATCACCACAATCAACAGCAGCAACAGCAAACCAGCTTTGGGAGCTACCACCGCAACGCTGGCCCAGTACCCAACTCGGCGGCCATGCTGAACCACTACATTACCTCGGACGCCGATCTAATGTTGGCGACTGATGATCACACACAGCTGACCAGTCCGCCGGCTGCTTACGGTGGAATCGGAAGTGTTTACAACGGTAATGGAGGTGGTGGAGGAGGAGGTGGTCCCTTTTCGGCCTACCTCGACAGCAGCTCCAATGGCTCTTCGAATCGCAAGTCGAGCAGCAGCTCGCAGTACACTGAAATGCCGCTGCTGGCGAACAATTCCTCCTCTTTCAACCACTCCGGTGCAGTGGGTGGAATGAACAGCAGCAGCAACGGCATTGGCCATTACCGAATGTCGGCCACCTGCAGTGCCAACGATCTCAACTCGGCCGCCTCCAGCTCATCGGGTGGCTCCGGAAACGGTGGTGGCAATCACATCACCAACTCCACCTCCTCGGCCAACTCCTCCACCAGTCTGAAGCGACCACTGCCGCCGGTGCCCGGGCTGATGATGACCACTGCCGCGGCCACCAACAACACCGGCCACGTTCGACTGTGAACACCGACAACTGCCAATTCCATGACTGAATTGCGATAAGTACGGACAATTTGCAACACCGATGAAGATGATCAGGTGACTGTTATTTGCAGCGTTCAATTTATTGCGTGGGTTATTACATTGCATTTATTACATCAATATTATATCACTTTAAGTATTCTCAGCACTGATACTCAGAACTGCAACTCTCTTTTTCTCAGAGTGTGGAAGCAGTAAGTATAGCACAATTCAATACAACACAACACTGAAACCGTATAGAACATTATTGCAACATATTTGCACACTCACACACTTACAATTATATCATAATCACTGAGTTGATTGACAATCTAGGACTTTGCTTTTTTGTTTCACCACGAGCGTAAAACATCTGCAGTTAATACTTCTCTTTCCACTTTTTCACTTTCCTCCCTACTCACACCTCTGCTCTCCCGTTTTTGAGAATAATCACAATAAAATAAAACGAATTAAATAACAAAAACACACTACTTATGCAAAAACAAAAGGTTAAAGAATTTCATGCAAGTCAACTCAACAACTACAAATAATAATAATAAAGTTAAAAAACGTGGTAACGAAAAATATAAACGCCTACATAGCTCTGTGTGACAATATAGTTTTGGTGAACAATCAGAGTGGGTGTGTGTTGGGGTATGACGAATGCTTATAAATAGAGAATTGCCGACAGGTCCTTATTGCGTAAGCTCTCGCTGTGGGGGTGTGTCGTGAGAAAGTACATTCAAGTAGCAAAAATAAAGAGATAATCACTCAGGGTTTGAGGTGCGAAAGGGAGTGCAGACTTAGAATGAAAGTGCGGGTGTGGGTGTGTCGTTCATAATCGACTAATAGCAAACGCAACAATGCGCCTTTCTGTGGTCAGTACGCCGTTTGAGTTTTTTGAGTTTGAGAGTTTGTGATTTTGCAGTGTGCAAGAAAAAGACGAAACGTGCTAGCAAAAAAAGTATCTTTTGCTGTGGGGTGGTAGTGCTGATGGCCGTAGTTTATGTGCTCCTCAAGAATGTGTAAGGCAATAAGAATAAAAATAAGAATAAATTAAATTAAAAAGGAAAACAATCTCATGCAAAAGTAAAGGATAAACCGGTAGAGCGCACAAAAGCGGTGAAAGCGAGAAAGGGAGCGTGCTTCAAATTGAGTTTGTGACCGAAGCTGGCGGGGACAGTGGGGTGACATTACACCTGGCCAAAAAACACACTGGCGCCGGAAAGCTTGAGAACGGGAGGTGAGAAAGGGAAAGAGAGAGAGCAAGAAAGTGAGTGGGCTTATAAGAGAGAGAGAGAGAGAGAAAGAGTGAGAAAAAAGACTAGATGATCGAATGGATCGAAGTTGTGGCTGGTGGTGGTGGTGATGATGATGATTCTGTGATACTGGGTGATGGTGTTGTGGTCAATACAGTGTGATGAACTCGTGAGAGAAGAGAGGAGGAGGAGAAAGAGATGTCAAAGTGACGTTCCTCTAGAACAACAATAGACGTTATAGCTTACAATAAAAACCCAAGTAAAAGCACTTACTCGCTCCTCTATGCTTTAACGGGCCTGTAGTGCAGCACCAAATCACCGCCCGACTTCCAGATAAAGTGCTTCACCGTCCTCAAGTCCATGTTCGGGTCGAGGACCACGTCCTGGCAGAGCAGTTCAACGCGCTCTTCCGCCAGAGAGGCACGACTGACGCTTCCGTTCTCCTCGGTGCCATTTGCACCACCATGGCCATCACCACTGTTTTGGTGGTGGTTGTGGTGATGGTGGTGATGGTGATTTCCACCGGTGGTGCTGTTCGAGTGCGTCGACGACCGACCAATGGAGCCAGTGTTGGTCTGGGCGGTGGTAGTAGCAGTAGTAGTACCGCCTTTGGCCGCCTCCTTCCCCGTCGTCGGGGGTGAGCCACCTTCCTTTGTCCGGTGGTGATGATGGTGGTGATGGTGGTGACTGTGCTGATGGTTGTGGTGGTGATGGTTGCTTCCGCCTCCATTATTGGCCGTACCACCATGACTGCAGGTGCTACTGGCACTACTGTGACTGGACTGACTGGCGCTGGAGGAACAGGAGCCACAGTGACTACTGCCGCCGTTCACAGCAGTTCCATTGCTGGAGCTGGCTCCGTTGACCATCGACGATGAACTGTGGTTGCCGCCACCAGTAGTACTGGAAGCAGCACTGGTACCCCCACCACCTCCATTGACTGAAGAGGATGAGGGCGGATCGACGACCATGCCGGCGGAGGCAAAGACGCCGCTGCAAATCTTCAGGTACACGTGCTCGATGACCTTTCGAATCTGGAGCATGTCAATGGCGCTAAAGTGCTCCTTCCGAGTGTTCTTCAGCTCCAGACAGGGGTGGGGAAAGATGTAAAAGGATATTTTGTTGAACATGGGCAGCTTCCGCTGAACGACAATGTCGGCGATCCAGCCAGGGACGGTGTCCTGCAGCATTGCGTCATCATTCTCCAGCTTCGCATCCATCACCCTAATGCGCATCAGCGTCCGCTGGTTGCTGCCCACCGCCTGGCCGGTGGAGGCACTGCCGCTGGAGCCGGCCGTGCCACTTTCACTGAAGATGATGGGCGTGTGCGGCGGCACGCTGAAGTACTGGTTGATGGGACCGTTCAGCTCGGGGGCGTAGTGCGAGGGAGGCAGGGGACCAGCTGAGCTGGTAATTGAGGACCGAAGACTGTTTGGCTGATGCTGTTGTTGATGCTGTTGATGGTGTTGATGGTGAGGGTGGTGAGGGTGGTGGAGAGCACTGCCGCCGCCATTGTGTGTGTGATGTGCCGGCCCGTGCTCTGCTGAAGAGCCGTCGACGCTCTCGAGACTGTCCAGCAGTGTGACGTACGACTGTGGCCAGTACTCAAAGAGCGCCTGCAAGACCAGACCGCCCAGGTTGACCTTGGTGTCGGGCGGCGGCGCCTGACTGCCATTGTCGTCGCTGTCACTGGCTCCAGAGGTGGTCCCCGTTGAAGAACCAGCTCCAGCAGCCGAGTTGGCCAGCGTAAAGCCAAACTCCCGTGCACTGACCCAGGCGGCGTAGGCGTCGCTCTCCTCGAGGTGCACCGCCAGCATGCCCATCTTCAGGTCAACGGTGAACCAGTTGGGCACGTAGACGGTGCGGAAGCGGCGTTTCACCTCCGCCTCAAAGTCCACCCGGCCGAGGTCTTCGGTTTTGAGACAACGCAGCACATCGTAGATGGCCACATTGTCCTCGGTGTCCTTCGTCACGATGTACCGCTTATCATTGAGCACTGCGTACGTTCGAATGGAAGGATTGCCGCGAATCACAAAGTCAGGCTTGGCGTTGAGCGGGCTGTTGCTGGGGAGAAGGGAGGAGGAGGAGGTCACAGTGGGAGGTAAAGAAGGAGGTAGGCTATGGTGACCACCATCTCCTGTCTCTGTCTTCGTCCCCTCCAAGTTCATATTGCTGATGCCATTTTCAATGGCTTTCGTTGAGGAAGATGAAAAAGATGAGGTGGTTGTCGTGGTATTATTTGCTGAGTTGGTATTAGTAGATCTTCGCCGAGGCGTGCCGACACTGCTGCTGGAGGAGGTGGCCGCTGTAGACGACGATGATGTTTCAGGTGCAGCGGCCAACTTCAGCGAGGCCGATTTACTACTATTGCCCCCAAGTTGACCGGCAGATTTGGCTCGAGCACTACCACTTCCACCAACGTTATTTGCAATTGTCCCATTGGCTTCGGCGGTGGTGGTAGTGGCCGAACTGCTGCTGAGCAGCGTCCTCGTTGAGCTGATCGAACTGCTCGAGTCGTAGAGGACATCACCACCACCCCCACCACCTGTACTGCCTGCCGAGTTGGGAGAGAGCGACCAGGCCTTGATGGTCGAGTCGGTGGTGGCCACCCAAATGTGGCGGCTGCCGACAGCGGCGGTGGGCGGCGCGAGCAGCAGCTTGAGAATGGGCGCACTCTCCTCGCNACGGCAGAGGCGGCGGCGGTGGGCGGCGCGAGCAGCAGCTTGAGAATGGGCGCACTCTCCTCGCATATCACAGTCTGCCCGGTGACCGGCTGTCGCAGCTCAGTGGCCACCACCCGCCGGTCGCGGCCGCCGCTGTACACCACCGAAAAGGCCTCATTCGTCTGCATCGTCCAGACGCCTTCTTGGTGGGCGCGAATGGTGGCCACACACCGCTGCTGCCCCAGCGACCACAGGCGAATGGTGCCATCGGAGCCGGCGCTCAGACACTGCGTCCCCTCGCGATTGACCAGCAGCGCACGGACGTTGTCCGTGTGGCCGCGCAGCTTCATCAGCTGTCCCGAGGTGCGCGTGTCCCACACTCGAATCAGCTTCTCGGTGTTGCCCGCCACGATGACGCTGCCCTGCTGATTCATGGCTAGCGAGTAAATAGAGTCCTGTGACCCAGAGAAGGAGGTCGTCGTGACGGTGTTGTTGGACATGGNAATGACGCTGCCCTGCTGATTCATTGCCAAAGAGTAAATCGAGTCCTGTGACCCAGAAAAGGAGGTCGTCGTGACGGTGTTGTTGGACATGGTCAGCTGTGTCAGCGTGTTCACGTCCCACAGGTAGATGGCTCGGTCGAGGCCGGCAGAGGCGACCTGCAAGAGCAAATGATGGTTAACAACATGATACAGACAAAAACATCGCCATAAAAGCACCACCACTCACCAGCTCCTTATCNAGGCGACCTGCAAGAGCAAATGATGGTTAACAACATGATACAGACAAAAACATCGCCATAAAAGCACCACCACTCACCAGCTCCTTATCTTTGGCGTAGGCGAGCGTCTTCACGTAGTCCTTGTGCGTCCTTAGCGTCGACATGCAGATGCCCTTGTGGGCGTTCCACACCTTCACCGTGGTATCACTCGAGGCGGAGATCAGGTTCCGCCCCTCACAGCACAGCACAATGTCGTTGACCCAGTCAGTATGGTGCTCCATCGAGTGCAGGTAGGGGTCCTCGCGCCCGGGCGGAAAGGGCACTGCCGACTGCTGCGACAGCTGCTGCAGGGTGTGCCCCGCCGTGCCCAGGTGCCCGCCGCTCAGTGATGAGCTGCGGTGGCTGGTGCTGTGGTGGTTATGGCCGCGCCCGTCAGCAGAGCGCTCCAGACCGCCGACGAGGGCGTTGCCACTGCCGGTGAGCAGTGCCCTGCTCTGCTTGCTGAGGTGGCAGTTGGTGGAGACGTTCCACATGCGAATGCTCGAGTCGCGGCCGGCGCTGTACAGCCGCCCCGTCAGCGGGTCGTACTGCAGCGAGTTGACGCCGGAGCGGTGGTAGCGCTCCTGCTCGTCGCGGATCACATAGGAGAGGCTGATCTTCTTGCGGGTCGACGAGTGACCACCGCTGCCTGATACGCCCCCTCCACCGCCGCCACTGCCACCGACGGTGCCCGTCAGTTGGCGTTGATGAAGCGAACTGGTGGTCATCCTGGTGGTGGATGGTCAGGTGGTCAGGTGGCCCCGGTGGGCCCAGCTCCGGTGCCCGACTGCAGTTTACCGGGTGGTGTTAAGAGAGCCAATTTTGGGTGAGGAGGAGGCAACTGAGGTGACGAGAGCTTCACCCGTGGTCAGCAGATGAAATGTCGTCGATGGCTGTTTGTGAAAGTGATCGTTGAAGTGCAGTTGAACTCTGTTCCAACAGTTAAGGCCGTCCAGTTGAGGTACAACAAATGCACTCATCAGTGCAGCAGCAGGCGTTCAAGTGTTGTCTCTGCCGCTGTTGTCTGTCTCTCCTTTTCTCGCTCTTCTTTTGCTGTACGCACTGATGTCGACGTTCTTTGATGATGCAGCTGATGATTATTGTGGTGGTAATGAGCAGAGAGCGAACAGAGACTGTAAACAGCAGCAGCAGCAGCAGAAGCAGCCGCAGTAGAAAACAGTTAGACACTAATCGTCCCTTCTAGTAATAATGTAATTACCTCTGTACAAGTACGCTGCACACTTACCCGGTCAATAGAGCAGCAGCAGCAGCAGTAGAAGAAGCCTTCTGGCGATATCGACAACGGTCAAGTGGTGGTGGTCGTCAACAGCAGACGACGATTTGAGGTCAAGTTGATGATCAGTGAGAGAGAGAGCGTGTCAGCGAGGATGATCAGGTGTCGCAGAAGTACACTTCAGCAGCAGCAGCACCGTCTCTGTCTGTCTGAGTGTGTTGTTGTCGTTCCAGCTCATCTGCCAGAAGTAATGGTGCTGGTGGCGGTGGTGTACTGTACAGTAACAGCTTCAGTAACTGCTGTCTCTCCCCGCAAGTCAGGTGATGGCGGTGTCGGTGGTGGTGGTGGTGGTGTTGATGGTGGTAATGATCAGCCGCTGATGG